AGATGATGATAAATCTTTATTTTTCTTTGCTCGTTGTTTAATTAATTCATTAACTTTTTCTTCTTGTTCATCACGTTTTTTATATATATGAACATTTTGTTGACGTTGTTCAGTTCGTATAGCTCCATCAACAAGCATTTCACGTATACGACGATCTCGTTCTTCTTTTGATTGTTTTTCATGAGGTTTTGTTGGACGTGGTGGAGTACGTTCACGACGCGATGGAGCAGGACGAGATGGTGGTGGTGATGGACTACGACGTTGGCGATGATGATGGTGATGACGAGGAGATGGAGATGAACGGCGCCGATGATGACGTGGTGGTGGTAATGGACTACGACGACGATGTTGAGGTGATCGAGACCGAGAATGACGTTTTCGTTTACGTGAAGATGATGATGATTGTCTATAAATAAAAAATCAAGTATCTATAAGTTTATGGAACTAGATTAATATATGAAAGATTTAATACAAATCGTTAACTGACAAAAGCTGAAGTAAATCAACACATGTTGACATGATTCAATGTAACTAGCTATTAATATTAAAACGACGGGATGTTAAACCAAGCACTGTTGCTATTGTCTAACACTGTTCTTTCTTTTATATATTCACTGCTAGTTCATCTCTTTTTTCTATATATCATATAATTGTTTATCATAACATCATTTTTTTTCTCGTTTTGCACGTGAGTGATAGAATATATGTTACTCACATTTTAGAGGTTTAACTGTATGTACTGTTGACTGATTAAGTCAATGTCATGCTCCATCTCAGGAAAAAACTTTGCACAGAAACAGATCTTCTCGCTTGAATGATAAAAACGATAGCTCTCTAGTTCTTCCCGTTCTTGAGTTATTGCTGACATTATTCGAATATTTTCTGCTATTGAATGTCATTAGAATTAGATAAGAATATCTGGAATATGTGTTCTTACAAAATCTTTTCTATGAATAATGCATATCCATATTAATTAAGAATAATATTTTACTTACGCAGATTCTTGTCTTTCTAAAAGTTCTTTAAGTTGTTTAAGTCGAACAGGATTGTCTAAAATTCTTTTTTTTTGTTCAATTTCTTTTTTCTTAATTAAATATAATGGATCTTCACGAATTTTATTAGCTAAATCAATTGTTGATGTTGTTGCATTATCTTCGGTGATATCATTTGGTTGTGAGTCAGCATCCAATTTTTTTCCAAGTAAATAATCGTCAGATTTCGTACGATCACCGCTATAAATCCATTCAAGACGAGGTTCTTGTGGTTCACGTAATTCACGATTCAGTCGAAGGGTTTTTTGACGTTCTTGTTCATCATACATTGTTCCTGTAGGCTCTGGATTCTTTCGCATAGACATTTTAGAAATTTCTAAAGAAAAATTTCAACAAATAGACAAAGACAATAAAAAGGAATCAACATTTTTCTAGATTGGTTCATATCAATTCAGCGTATTAGAAAATTCAATATAGATGTCGCTAGAAAAAACAAGTTGTTGATCAGAATTTGTGATTATTCAAATATCAAAGAAATCGGTCGTGTACACTTCAGTCTTCATCTTTTACGTGCTTTTTGCTGTAACAAAATCTGTACTTTATGTCACTAGAAATTCGCTCGAACTATGTTAGGAAGATCTATGTCTCGAGATGATACAAATGTTTTTGAATCGTCAATGTGAATTTCCATCAGTATGTTCTACAAAACAATGATTTTGACGATTTGATCTCCATCTTTTACCTAAGATAATTAAAATTGGTGAATTAGTCTGCAGTCAGCTGTTGTGAGCAGGAGAAATAATGAAAACCTTCGACAGGATAGGATCGACTCTACGTAAAATTGTTTATTATTCTTATATTAATGCCGAAAATTGAGATTGTTTCGTGCTGCATTTAGATAGTTCTTTACGAATTTTCTTTTTTTCGTTTATAAGCATCGAAAATTATTATTTTCTTTTGCAATGATTTCGAGAATGGAGAGTCAGAAAATACGTAGATAAACGTTCTTATACTGTCTTATTCACACAGAAGAACGTAATAGATTTGTAGGGAATCTTTTTCTGTATGAAACTCTTATCTTTGAAATCAAAATGAGTTATATACCTTTGTTACGTTAGAACTTATATGAGTAAAAAAATGCCTATTGCAGTTCCAACAACAGAGGGGATATGTATCTCACCAAACAAGAGTGTATCAAATGCAACTTAACATAGCGCATGGTTCTAAATTTTATGCTCTGTTTACATAGGACTTCAATAAGCTTTTTACACCTGATATTCTTATCGTAACAAAGGTATATAATTCATTCTAATTTCAAATATAGGAGTTTCCTACAAAAAAAAGTTCTCTATAAATCTACATTTATAAAACAAGTGTTACTTTCTTCGATGCATGAATAGGATAGTACAATAACGTCTATTTGTGATAGTTATTCTATTGAATTATTGTATTATAATAAAAATGCTAATTGAGAAGAGGCACGCGACAATTTGTAAAAAATAAGTGGTTTGGAAGAATGAAAAAGAGCATGCTGTGATTGTATCGTCAATAAAAACTAAACAGATTAATGGATTTTTCTGAAAGTTTTTACTCGTATACTAGAGACTATGGGTTGTAATTTGATGAAAACCAGATGATTCTAAAATAAAATTATCTACTAGTTGAATAATTTGGATACCCACTGTATATACTGCTAGTCCAAACAGTGCTGTACAATTTTATAATATTTCACCATTCTTCAGCTGGTATGATAGTAGAACAATTTCGATAAAAGCTGTTCATCTTTGATTTTGTTAGATAAGAAAAACTTTCACTTCTACAATATATCCCATACTATATTATGTATTCAAGCACGACTTATTCATGATAAAATATATTTTGTTTTCGACATCCACCTCTTAGAACCGTTCAAAAGATGATATTGAATAGTTTCATGAAGGTTGAAAAAGATGTTGAAGACAAAGAATGTAATTCAGACTGTATCTTTCATGATCACCCTCAACATCAGCTGTTACAATATATACCGAGCCGTAATCGTTTTAAGTTTACGATGATCGAAGATTATTCGTTGGACAGTGCCATGATTCGGATTACGAGGTTATTTGACATACCGGATCATACTCTGTCTCCAACAGCATCTTGACATTTATAAAACCATTCATATCATTTTTCAACTCTTCTAAGGAGTGGAGTCTGGCTGCCGAAAATAAAATATAGTGTCGTACAGACTTAAATGCAGAAGCGAATGTTTTCCTTATGCAACAGAATCAGAGTTGAACAGCTATGATCGAAATTCCCATATCTTAGTAAATGAAGAATATGGAAATATTATAGAATTATAGAACATGGTTTGGACTATCAATATATAGAAAACATCCTCGAGTCCTTCGATAATATAGTCTAGTGCATAGTTTTCGTTTGATTTTGCAGAGAGAGGAGAAGGGTTAAGCGAGAAAGTCTCCCAAATCTAAAGAGAAACAACTTTTGTTTAATCTTTTTACAGTAGAATATATTCTTAGATAGAATCCAAAATGATCTCGTCTTCAATAGAAACAGTATTTTCCCTATTCTTGTTAATTTTTCAACAAAAAAAAGTTCAAGTAAATGAAAACAAGTATTTTCATCTACAAGAAAATTTTTCACTTCAATAATGTCCAAGCTATTTTTCCGCTAAAAGTGAATTAATTCGAAAGAAAAAATAGTGATGATCTGTAAAGAATATAATTCTGATCTAAAAAGAAAGTAATGTAGACCCAAAGAAAATTTAATTCCCATACGAAAAGAAACTGTCTTTAGTAGAAATTGGTTCGAATGTTAAAAGAATAGTTGACATTTGAGCAGTAAATTATTCAATGGGAAAAGCAAAACAATTGGTGCCTTTTGGAGCATTCATTCGGGTGTTAAGAAATGATATTTCACTAAGTGCTCGTCAAGAGAATTTCTAGAGAGAAAACAATAACAATAAAAAAATAGCGGAGGGAAGTCCCTCGGCTCCCCCCTCGCCATAATCGAACGCCCTGGTATCATTTTGAAATTCCATTAAATCAAACTTGATACTTTCAATGACCTTGAACATTTTTTTTTTTGCAAACAAGGTCTTAACTCATTCGGTAATGTCAAAGGATTTATTATTAATGTATAGAAATACGAGTTTTTGTTTTGTTAGCTTTGAATATACTCAATGAACTTCTTCATTTGATGACTAGTACAAGTGTTATTCTTCTATGACTCATTCTTCAAATGCAAGTTTCACAACAAAATAAGACTTAATTTATATTTAATATTGAACAAATCAAAGTGAATTGACTCATTTTCAATCATTATTATTCCTATCTCTTTCTAAGATTCATCTTTGTAACCTTTTACCTGTTAACATTAGCGAATAAATAAACAAAGCAATTAAACTCTATCAATAAAGCATTCAACGTAATGGTTTATATTGTGAACAATTAAAATTGTACGATTAATCTTGGGACATATTTACTCGTTTTCGACTAGAAAATCCATTAAAATGTAATTTAATATAGTCTATATTAGGTTTATTTGATACAGAATTTTTTTGTTCTGCCAGAATATGTTGTGGGTGGTTTGTGTGTCGATCTTCTCTTCATTCACCCCCTAATCTCAACAACAAAAACATTTGTCGTCCGAGTAAAAATGAAATGTTTTGTTGGCAACTTCCGACTCACTTATGGTTGTCAGTTCTTCGAATTAAATCAGGTACCTAAAATATACTTTATCATAACTTTTACTTTGAGTTGATATTGATGTTTCTTATAATAAATTGGATATTTATAAAATAGCGGGAACAAAACTTATATATAATATTTGCTTTTATTTAAGTAAATATACATTTACTATTTACTTTACTTTATTTACCTAAAGAAAAAGTAGAGTAAATGCGTTATCCCTATAATAAATAATTATTTTAAGATGCAAAAGAAATTTCATGCAGTTTTCAAAGTCTCTCTTGGACTTTTTCGACGTCTATTGAAGCCTCATAAAGTCTTATAAAGTCTTAGAAGCTTTTTGAAGTTTTTTGGAATCTTTTGAAGACTTTTGAAGTTTTGGATTTTTGAAAGCCGGTGGTTTCAGTTTCGGTTGAGCAGCTAGAAGAGAAACAACATGTGCATCTTTACTGATGAAGATTAGCAACAAGTGTTACTCACCGGTAAGATATTGTAATTGTATATTTGTACAAGTAATACTGTTCGACAATGTATCGATATTAATCTGATTTACTTGAATTGGTTTTGACGTCGTCCAACTCACAGTTTTCATTGGTGTTTTAAATATACCATTAAAAGTAGCTATTGTAGTATTGTTGGATTGCATCAAATGGAAATTAGTATTAGCTGACGGTTTAGAATCACCAGCTACAGGGACACATTTGACAATCAATCCAACAACATCATCATATACTTGTGATAATTTTAATTTTTCAGCTGAGCCACCAGCTTTTATTTGTATACGTTTGAGCGGACTCAGAAGGTTTGCAGTTGTCTTGAGTTCTAAAATAGAATTTAACTGCATAAAATTAAAGAATAAAAACTGAAAGGTACAATGGAAGAAGAACAAAAGTTGATACAACTTGTCAATGAGCAGAAATATTTCGAAAATATAATTAATAACGTAGATTCTACAGTCTGTAGAAGAATCTCAGAATACTCTCATGGTCTTTTGTGATTATACATTTTTGTAGACCACTAGAACCTTCAAAAACAAGTAAAAAGTCAAACTTTAAGAGAACATTCCATCATTTCAAAGTTTAGTTTCCAACACTCAACATTTAAGCTCTCGTTTATACAGAATGTCACTCAAAAGGTATCAATAAAAATTAGAAATATAGTTGAAGTCGTTTTGTGGTCACCAAGTTTTTCAGTTTATTTTTTCGAAAAAGACCATGTCGCATAAGATGGCCTATTCAGAATTGAGAAAGCAAATATACCATGTTATAGAGCAAGTCGAGGGACATCGAATGGCATATAGAGTGTTTTATAAGTCTTGAGGCTTGACAAAAATTAGTTTATATGCAAATAATGATATCTTCTCTTGTAATAATAAAAATATGAACATAAGAATGTAATGATAAATTTTTTGAAATCGATCGATGAGATATTTTATGAGGAAAAAAAAAGAAAACACTCTTGTTTATTAATACACATATTAATCTGGTTTAACTATGACGTATTTGTACTTCACCACTATTTACCACTTCGTCAAATCTTTTATGAACTAACTTACGAGACATATGATATCCAAAAATATATGGAAAATGTCGAAATGAATACCAAGTGAAAAAAAAACAATCAGATCAAATTGAATTAAAAAAGAAACAAAAATAAAAGAACTGCCGGTAAAAAGAAAATTTTTTTATTCTTCACACAGCATGTTGTTTTTCCTTATACACACCATATGTTCATATATTTTATTCATCCTCATTTTATTACTGAATATATAGCTTGGCTGAATATGTGATCAACAACTCATGATGAGCGTCGACTAAATGATTCAGATAACTAGTTATTGGTTTTTGCTATACTATTTTGTACATAAAATATGTTCAGCATTATAATGTTATACGAATCCAGAATATCATGTTTATTTCCCACCGAAATCGACTTTTGATAGTTAAAATATCGAAATATAGTATCAAAAGAGGAAAATTGATGTAGAAATTGGTTAAGATTTCTCAATACAAGGCAATTTTGGGTATCATGTAATTATTTTGAAGAACTTTCAAATAGTGTGTTTTGTAATACTACCTCGCGAGCAATTTCTGAGAAAGTTGAACGTCTGGTCGCATGTTCTATGATCGACACTATTGAACACAATAAAACTCACTATTATCGACTACCCATTAAAAACAATACTAAATGATTGAAAAATTGCATTTTTTTTCCTGTGAAAGATAGGATGATCGGAGATGTTATTAACTATATGAACTTGTAGCTTATGAAAAATTTTACAAAAAGTGTAGATAAGAAAATTTTTTCACAAACACTTTCGACTCATACTAAGGACTACAATGATCAGTAACTGATCATGCTTTAGGTGCATAGTCATCCATACATAAATTAACTCTAGTTTCTTGAAAGTTTTATGAAAATAATATTTACTATATACCGTTTGTTTGGAATAAGTCATCTTATCCAACAGGATTCTTTACTTTTATCTTGCGGAAAAATCTTTACTTGTTGACTTTTTGAACGATTTCGGGAACTTTTTTGTCACATTTTTACATCCTATTGATATATAGTTTACTTACATTATTGATCACTATCCATACTGTAATCGAAAAGATGTGACACAACGTTCATAAGATATCTTCTAGCGTTTAGAAAATCAAGCATTTAATAAAGATGCCTTGATTGGTTCTTAGTGAAAGTCGTCTCAGATTACATTTAATATAATAGTATTGACAGATCTTTTTTTTAAAGATCTGTAATTCGTTCACACAATTCAGTCTAGACTACTTTACAGATTCGACTTCAGTTTGTCTCCTTCTGAAATGAGTTCGTTAGATTATTTCAGAAGCTTAAAGTATTATTTCTATATTTTGTCAACTTTTTGATAAAGAAAAATGAACTATTATTTTTCAGCAGATACAAGAGCGACAGGAGCTCAAGCAATCGCAGACTATTCATAGGCAATTTACTACCCATACAGAATCAAGAAATCTAGGAATTATTACAATGCAATTTGTTATTCTGGATGTTGAAATGTGTTCTACTCCTAAATTAATGAGGGAGTTGATAAATCGACGCTATTTTTCGGAAGTATATAAACATAGAGCTTTGGAATTGAAGTTTCAAAGCATTATCTAAGTGTACATAGTGCTGTAATAAGTGCTGAAAATCATTAAATATCCTGTGAAAAATGATTATAACTATGTAAACTTCAATTCAACAAATTAATCTGTAATACTATTTCGAGAACACGACTTTGGACTATTTACCAACTTTTGTATTTCTCAATGATTGTACTACATCTGGTAGGTGAGTGTTTATACTGGAAATATTTTGAATTCTACAGACAAACGAATGACAAATAAATCAAGTAGCTATTCTTTAATTTATTTGTTACTAGTAACTTATGGAAAAGAGAAAATCAAATTGTAGATGGTAATGATCATGTGGAATGGTATCAGCGACATAAGAGCGACAAATCGAAAATAAACTTACTTTTACTTTCGTTCAATATCTTATACGGATCTAAAGGAAAATTGATTACATCAATACACTTCGTTGAACAAAATTGATACATTGGATATATGTAATTACGATTGTTAGCGCTGACTAGACAGTAATGTTGACCGTCATAATTTTGTCGACGTTCACACAAATAATATGATGGAAGGAAACTAAGATCTGCTTGTGGTACACAAATACCAAATCCAGGATTCATTACCATAAAATTAGCATCGCCTGTATGGCAAGTTTCATTTTTTTTCGCATCGCGATTACAACATCCACACATACCAACTGCTGTTGGGCCAGGTGGACAACTTAGACATGATGTTGGTGAGACAAATATAGTTAAAATTATTGATACAATTAACAGAAAACCTTTCAACGATACAGTAATTTTCATTATTATATAATATTGTGTAAGTATTTTTTGCACGTGTGTAAGCCTTTTAACTTTCCCAGAATTCTTATTTATATAGAAATGATAAAAAAAAAAAAACCTAATGAAAAATAGAATAAGACGATGAATAAAATAACTTCCTATCTGTAAATCTAGTTTCCTATAGTAATACACTTATATAGAAACAGAAATAATTTTTCTTAAAGTCTTATATATTAGTTGGCTTCCATCTGATCTATAAGGAAACATTCTGTCTCCTTGTTTTTTGTTTTTTTTTCTACTGCATAGAGTATACGTATATAAGAATATACATATCTCTTTGCTGATACTTATTTAGCTATCAGTAACAAAAAGAAAACCAAATATAGACGTGATAATTACTAAATTTTCTGATATTGCTTAAAGACATTTCATCAAACACAACTAGGATATCTTCTAAGTATATCTCAATTCAAGCGGTTAGGAATTGTAGCTCTATTTTCTATTGTACTCTATACACTGTTTCTTTTTTCTTTACTACACCATCTGTTAGTGATACTTAATCAGTTATCAGCAGCAGAAAAAAACAATTATAATCATACACAACTTGAACTATTTCTATTTTGTATTTCTATTAATTTTCAACATCATTTATTAACTTGACCTTCACAATATCTTAAGTGTAGTTTTCGGTTTTGTGATTAGCTTTAAAACCACTTTTTTGAACACTCTTGCAACCGTTGTAATATTTAAAAATGTCGAAAAAGTTATAATCTAGTTTCTAATTTGTACAAATTGATTTTTGATATTTATATTAAAAAAAAATACATTTCCAATTAACAAAACAGACAGTGTATAGTTTTAATCTATACAAAAAAGTAAAAAAGGGCTACGTAGATTTATTTGCTGTTTCTGATATTTTTCGATTTTAAATGCTGTTATTCTTCTTCGTTTCACTTCCGATTTTTCTTTGACTTTACCATACAGAATCTATAGATATTATGTCTAACTGAAGTGAGAAATTGAGAAGATTACAAAAGAATACTTATTCGACAAATACGAACAAACATCAACATATTATAAGAAAAAAGGATTTTTCTTTCGGTGTAATGATAACAGATAAACTACTATAAAACAATAGACTTTTCTACACCTTAGTATTGAATGCATAATGGTATTGCTATTTTCATTATTCTCTTTTCTGAAAGAAAGGATTATATCGAGGTCAAAACAAGCTACATATACATGTTACGTACAAAATTATATATAGCTTATTCTATCTTGTTTGAACTAATAAAATTACTTTCCATTTTTTACTCTCGTCTATCCACAAATTGTTTTACATGTATTGAGAACATGTTTATAACTGGGCTTGTTAGATGAATTACAAGATTTATTTTTTAAATGAGTTGCCTACATAATTAAGACAACTGTTCATCTTATATTACATATTATTTTTAATTTGATTGACCATTTATTATAATCTTTAATCCTTTGAGTCCTGAGTTTTTTCTACTAAACCGAATTTGATGAAATTTGGTATTAACTAACTAGGTGACATAATGAAGCATGTGGTTAAATTACAATTAAGGAAATACGTGACCACATGAAGATTAAAACATTTTTGCTATTGTTGAATTTTAATAAAAAATTGCTATTATAATTACTGAAACATGTATTTATTTCATTACTGATACACCTAGTTTTTATGATGCAACAAAAAACAAGTTACAAATCCTATTCGTCCTTTTTTCTCTTTCTTTTGTGCTTCAATAAGCGCATCGACGATAAGTTGAAATAATTTTTGGCAAGTGAGTCAAAAGTTGTGATTCTTCAAAACTTTCTATGTTATTTATGTCCCTTTCAATGTGTTTCTTCTTCTGATTACTTATCGCCAAAGGTTTTCTTACCCATTTTCTACTACAATAATTATCTACGAGTGCAATACTAATCAAGAATACATATTGTAAATATGCTCGAATACTAAATTGGTCAAATCAGTAGCTTCGATATGAATAATCTATGCGGACTCGATGTTCGGACATACATAGACATTGTACATTATACGCACAGAAGACAATTCTATTGTTGAGGATTGATGTAAATAAAACAAATGAATTTAATCTTTTGTAAAGTACTGAACTCTCATAGTGCCTTAGATATATCTCACGGGTATATATTTTGACGAAAAGAAAAATTAAAAAAAAAAATTGTTTAAATCCAGGTTATGGGGTTAAAATATTTTTTGGATTAAAGAAACTTAGCATGATGCAATATATTTCTCCAAGATTCTTAAAAACTCGAAGATTAGAAAATTCTCAAGGTGATACATATGTGTATCACAGAGACTCAAAGGGTTAAAAATAAACAAGTTATGGTAATGAAAACACAAAAACTCAAAGGGTATAATTTCAATTTGCGTGGAGTGTATATTCGTCAATCACAGTTAAAGGATTAATCTGGGTAGTTACTGCTTCATAAGCGATGACAATACACAAATTCATTACGATATGTAAGAAGATTAATATGAAGCATTTTTTGCTTCGTCATAACAAACTGAAAAGATGTATCGATGTAGTTCTGATGAGGTTGCGTTTACGATTCTATTTTCACTATAGTCAACAGATAATTGTGTCTTAAGCCTTGCATTCAGCAAAAATAAGAGATTAAATGTTATTTATAATAGTATTTACCGAGAATTGATTAAAGAATTAAAAGATTAATGGTAGAAAGGATATTAAAGAGTACGTCTGTTCTTCAGTCTTCGCATCGGTCTTCCAAGGCAAATAAATCGGTAGATATGAATCCTCTCAAACTTGCTACTTTTCATCTTCTAACTCTTTTCACCGTTTTGGTATACTTCAACGACATCTCAACGGCATCTTCGATTAAGAAACTTTATGCTGCCCTTTCTAATCAGCAGATGACTCCTGCTACGACAAGAGCGCAAAACTATCAAGTTGCTCCCGGTATTAACTACGAGTACTTATACACAAAAGGAAATAACACCACTAGTTTAAAACCGACTATGTTATTTTTGCACGGTTTTCCCTCCTCATTTCACAGTTGGCGTCATCAAGTAGACTATTTTTCACAACAAGGATATGATTGTCTAGCACCAAATCTGATGGGCTACGGAAGAACCTATTCACCATTGAACGTCAGTGAATACAAGAGCAAAGCCATGGTCGAACATCTGATTACTCTTCTCAACCATTTGCGAATAAACAAAGTCATTGTCGTTGGTCACGATTGGGGAACTCGAACGGCCGGTCGATTCCTATTGCATCATCCGGAGCGAACAGTAGGTGTGGTACTCATTAGTGGTAGTTACAATGCGCCAGCAGTCTTCGATCTCGATCGAGCACTCGAGGCTTCGAAGAAAGCATTTGGATACGAAATTTATGGCCATTGGAAATTTTTCGAAGCTAATGATGCCGCAAAACTGATTGAGAACAATCTGGAAAGTTTCATGGATCTCGTCTTTGCCAGTGATCCAAATCTTTGGAAGGTGAGTTTTGCTCCTGTGGGAAAAGTACGAGAATGGTTGGAAAATAAGAACAGAACGACTCGAGGTACATACATGACAGCCAACGATTACGCCATCCTGCGACAATATCTTGCTGAAGGCATGCAGCCAAAATTGAATTGGTTTAAAATGATGATTGCCAACAATGATTGGGAGGATGAAAAAAATCTCGATCCAGTGCTCAAACAACCGATGCTGTATCTGGGAGGAAAGAAGGATTATGTCAGTGTGATATCTGCTTACTGAGGACCAAGCCAATATGTTGCCGATTTACAAACATGTCCACTGGACACAGGACACTGGGTGATGGAAGAAGATCCGCAAGAAGTGAATCAAATTATTGACAGATGGATCAAGAGAATTCAGGGAATTTTTATTTAAATAAAAATCTTTGAGAATGAACTGAAATGATGTTTTTTTTCGATGATAGTTTGTTACGGAGAAGTTTTAAATGATTAATACTCACTCCATCTATTCGTTCTTCAATCGAGTCAATGCACTTTCCACAGTGCTAAGAATAAGAAAAAAAAATTTGCTCGTTCTTCAGCCAATAACACTTTTTATTTGCTAAGGGTTGTTTCTCTTCTCGATCTCAAAACATAGTGAAAAAGAATTGAGATCAAGACTGTCTCCTCTTTCGTTATAGAAATGTTTGTGAAACCATTATTGTATCAACCGGAAGTGCGATCATCTCTTTTCCTCGTTTTCAATATCTCTATAGCATTATTCATCGCTTGTTTCATACAATCAGTGTCATTGCTTTCTCTGTTACTCTCTTTAATCATTGTCATTTACTTGCATCCAAAAATAGCCCATGGTCATTCCTATACACCACCCGAAAAGACAGATTTAACTGGACAAACAATTATAGTGACAGGAGCAGCATCCGGTATCGGTCGTGTGTCTGCCATTGAATTTGCTAAGCGAGATACAAAGTTATTGTGGGCATACGCGGACAAAGGCGAGCGGAGCAAGTCGTTCAAACATTAGAACAAGAAGCACATATTGTTGGTCATGGTAAAATCATTGGGTACAATCTGGATTTATCGTACCTTTCTACAGTGAAACATTTCGCTGATCAAATTCTCGAGCATGAAGATCATGTGAATATTCTATTGAACAATCCTGGTCTATCCTATTTACATCACCCATTGACATCGGGTGGCGTCCAAATGAATTTTGGTACAAATTATCCAGGTCACTTCTATTTGACAAACCTTCTTCTACCATTATTGATCCGCTCCAAAGCACGGAACGTCAATGCGAGCAGTAGGGTGTGGGTGTGCGTAGAGGTGTGGAGTTCGGTGTGAGTGTGAGTATGAGTCTCGGTCTTGATCTTCTATTTACACCCATACCTACATTCACACACACAGCCAAACCTACACCCAAATACATCCATACCCACACTCACACCCACCCCTACTAAGCGCATATTTTTGGACCCTTTTTTAGATGCATCGTATGCAGCTTTTTTCTCCCTATCGAACCCATAAGAAACTATTGTCGTCCCAAATACTTTTTAATAATTTTTTTCATCAAGATATTTGTATCGTTTTTCGTACATTGACCCTCCATAGATATGTTTAAAATTTATTTAAGGAAAATCTAAATATACAGTTTTGTAGAGCGAAATTTGCTCTATCTTTTGAAGTATAATTCAATTTGAATTGATTGATCTTTAAGAAAAAAATATAACCAAATGCTGGAAACCAAGAGCATGATCATTATTTTAGAACTTTATGGAGATACATTCAATGTTTCTTTCATAACTATTCAAGAGTCATTCAGAGAAAGCTAAAATTTTGCATTTATAGATTTTCTTATATGCTCTTCCATTTGTGATGATCAAAAAGGTAGGCCAAAATTTTTGAGGTAACTTCCTACTACGAAAATGCTCGATTCAGTCATGGACCGTCTCTTAACTATCTCTTTCGGTTATTAAGTTTTCTCTTTTCACAAATAACTATTACAATATGATACTCAAAAAGTATTATTTAAATACCAAAAATATTATTCCAATTGATAAAAAATTTCAATAAGTTATTTATTTTATTTTACTTGATTTTCTTTATCGAACTCAAGACTAATCTTATCTTCAGATCATATTCAGAAGCATCACAAAAAAAGGTCTTATCTTCGGTTATATTGTCTCGACAAAGCTCGACAAACATTTTGTTAAAACTAAAAGAAAAATTAGATAGCCAATCATTTATAACATCTTCCAAAACAAATATAACAACTATATATAGAGGTTTTGTGATAATTAATGCTATAAAATCGGTATCAGATGACGGTATTCACTCATTAATCATAACACCACATCAATAACGTTATTTTTCAAACAAATTTATTGATTTAGAACAAAAATAAAAAAATTTTATTTGGATCTAGAATAGTGGCGTAACCAGAATTTTGGTGGTGGTAGAGCTCAGCATCGCTAAAATGTTTGATGGTAGGGCCCAAGTGAGTAGATCCTGTGGTGTAATAGAGCTTGTATATCTTGAAACAAAGCGAAGTTAAAAATATATAGATATTGTTTTCACCTGTTCGTGACGAGAGAAAAAGATAAATATGAAATATCGCTTTATATAGAATCCATGTTGTGTAGAATGAGAAGCATACAGAAAGTCCTTTGAAAAAAAACCAACGTCGTCAGAGTAAATGTCAAACAGCATCATTCAAAATACTTCGACCATTATTTTACGTTGAAAGATTTTATTAAGATGCTATTTCTGTCTTACAATATACCTGTCGTCATGTGTTCTTTCATCCTTCTTTTACATGACATTTGCAGTTCGAGAACAGCTACCATGATGCGTTTCGAAGAATAAAATATGAGTGAGAAAAATGTTTTTTATTGTGTAATATAAACATAGCGATGAAAGAAAACATGATGGGAAAAAAGAAAATATTCGTTTGATTTTGTTTTTTTTATGTGTAAATATTATGATAATTGTAGATCGGTGGATATGGTCGATTAATGTCATTGGATACTAATGTGCCGCCGATGTTGTCTCGGTTCTTTTGTGTCTTCCTATTAGATAAATGTAGGAATGTTGTTTGTTATCATGTTGATGAGTTGCTATGTGCTACTTACTTTTAACAGGCTTATTTGTAAGTAATGGTTGTTTAGGTCGTTCTTGTATAATTTCCTTTTTTTTTGTATCTTGTCGATTTCAATTACCAACAATCATCTTGACATCTATGACTGGTGTACTTTTAAAAACATTGTCATGAACGTTATGCATATCTCTTTCAAATGAATGAAATCTTTTTTCATGTGTACGATGAATAATTATTTGTTCGCCGTAAGTCCTTTATTTTGGATTCTTTGTCGTTGTTGGGCCTTCTGGTTTTTGTTCTTCTTGATTTTGAGGATTGTCATGTATCTTAAATTTTGCTACATTCTTTGCTATTTGTGACTGACGAGCTGTTACCTGACCAATAATTATTTCACACATACGAAAAAATTGATCTTCTTTATCCATAAAAGGTAAAAATACTGAAGGAGATATATATTCATTACAGAATTTTCGAAATTCATTCTCGATAAATGATGATGGATTACTAAAGAAATATTTTAGTAATAGAAATAATTATCTTTGTTTTTGTTGATTGTAAAGAATTACCCATTATATAGCAATGTTAGTTCAATATATCGTCGTTCCTTATGATATTCTTTAAATGTAGATGAATATCTTATAGCTCGTGTGAGAGTCGTTTGTAGCATATTTCCCAACACATATCGAGGATGATCAGATGGGGATGTGGGTGAGTGTGGATGAACAGGATATACACACCCTCACTCACACTTATCCTCTGAGTTTGAGGTTTGGTAACTCTAGTTTTGATGTGTATTTATTTTATTCAAATATATTTTGTGTATGTAAAGAATATCGTTATCCATAGTTCAATCGAGAAAAATGTACTTTAAGCGGCCAAAACTGATCCTAAAATCTTTTCAGATTTTTTCCGGATGTTCAATATAGAATTCCAGAATATCCAGATTTTAAGATTTACATTCCGGAATTTTGAGTTTGACATTTGGTAACCCTGTAATTTACATACGACCGCTTATTTTATAGTTGCACTTTTTGTTTTTAAAATGGACAAAACTTCGAGCAACCAACTTTTGATTATGTGAAAATGATTTTTTTTGGTGCAAGATGAATTCGTTTTTTTTGTTATTTCATCTTATTACCACCTGATAGGTTTTATTTAAAAAAAAATATATCACAAGATGCAGCGTGAGAAGCTCTACAATTTACAAATAACAGTCATATAAAGATGAAATAAGAAAAAACCGAATTCATCTTGTATCAAAAAAAAGGATCATTTTCGCACGATCAAAATTTAATCGCTCAGAGTTGTGTCCATTTGAAAACAAGGAGTGTAACTATAAAATAATCGGTTTTATGTGAATTGTAGAGCTTTTCATGCTGGATCTTTTGGTATATTTTGTTTTTTAAATAGGCCGAAGTGAGTGACGGAAAAATGAAATGGAAAGTGCGGTCATTCCTTATGCTTAACTCATTAGTTTTTACAGCTTTTTGTATATCTTCACTTTTCATCTTTTTGTGTACTCAAAAAGTGAGTATTTTTTGTGCATAGAATTGTCTCATTGATATCTGTGTCGAATTCAAAGATGAGAATGATTCGTCAAGAAATTGATGAGTCATCGCAAAAAATGTCATTATTTCCTATGCTTTTCTATGCGAACATTGACCTATCCCATCTTTCGTAAAAAACTTTGTCTCTCATAATCAAAAAGGAACCTCAACTATTATACATCATTCGATAGAGAATTTCACGGGCTACAAAATGGCATATAAAACATTAAGAAACAAGAAGAGTAAGTCATCTATTTCAAAGATACTTAAACGAAAATTGCTTTTGTGTTTGCCCATGATCAGATTGATCGAAAATTAAAGCCCTGTTTTCCGATCAGAGAAGCGATACTTCGAGGTTTGATCAAACTTGAACAAAGGTTTTCTGGGGCGAAGAACTTGAATCTGAACTCCACTTGCCTCGAAATCCTATTGGTTGACCAGTAACCAATAGAAATCAAGTCTTAGAAAAAATGGCTTGCTATAGAATAATTTTGATATCTTGACATGCTATGATGACTCATCTGTCTAGAGTCTAGACAGGCTATGATCACTTATTTGTCTAATTTTTAGACAGTTTGATCAAAATCAATCTGTCGTCAATTATTTTTACTTTTTGAAGTATACATAACGTTCGAATTTAAATCCGAGGTTTCCACATTTTTTCAAATATATCTAAAACGATTTTTCGTTTCAACCATTTATGGTTTTGTGCAGAATTTCACGCTATCTTTGGATAAAAAAGTGCTTTAATCAGTGGGCTAATAGAGGAAAAACATCGAAAATACAAACAGTCTAATTTATTATGGGACACCCGTTACATTTCCGAATGATCTGTTTATGAATTTGGGCGAAGAGAATTTTATCAAAAGTGAAGAAACTTCTTTTGAACTTGAAATCGGTCATTCTCAATAAAAACCATCAGTCAATAGACTTTCAGAGAAAGCACGATTAGTTAGCTTAAATAATAAATGTTCTTTCAACAATCTCAGTGACGACGATAAAAACTCAAGTCTTCCTATTCTAAGCAAGTGTCGAAAATAATTGTTAGGCAATTGCTATATTGGTTCTTATCTTAGTTAGGTTAACATTTGAACTAGGATGTTTACAAGACAAAAAAACAAGAAAATGAAGCAAATAGTTTCAAAATTTGTGCCTTCGTACTTCATTGAGATGTTCATTATTCTTGTTCAAAAGCAGATTCACGCGATATTCCATCTAAAGGTTGAACTGTATTCTGACATCTTTGACACCATTGATTCACTGGTTGCCAACATTTTTTCACTAGCAAATATTTCACTTGACGACGATATCGGGGTGATGATGCGAAAAAGATATAAAAGTCAACCTAAAATGATTTATATTCATCAAGTTTCTAGAAAATTAAATTGGAAGAATTACCGCATGACTGAAGTAGACCAATGTAAGACTGATTACTTGAAACCACTTACGAATAGCAAATTCTAGAGTATTAGTCTCAACGACGGTCAAATTAAGTGAATAAATTCGGTGGATCGCGAATGGCAGCTGTAATAATACAAAAAAGATTACTCGAACAAAAATCATTGCCGTCATTTGTTGATCAAGTCTTCGCCGATCGATACGAATTCGTCGTCTCACAATATGACGAACATTTCGATAAGCCAAAATACTGAAGAAAGATGACACAAAGATTGGAATTAAACCATTCAGAAATGGATAAAAGATAAAAGAAGAATAACGTATTAAACCAGTATTGGTAATGATACAACCAAGTGAAGGATGAATCTCTAAGAAAATTCCAAAAGGTACAGTGTGTAAAAGACACAAACAAGTAGCAAAACAAATTTCATATCGAGCCAATTTAAGTGAACTTAGTTGTCGGAAATAAGCTATATGGTTGGTGGAAAGAAACTGATCAACTGCTGCAGAACATACTACAACAGACAGCATAAGTCGCAACCATTGTGGCAATATAGTTCTCAGTTTGCACCAGACAAGTGAAACAGTCACCGGTTCAATTCCATTAATTGAAAATTTCCAAATTTCATTGACAAAAGTTTGACATAGTTGACCAATATCAACAATAGACTCCACAATTAAATAAAAAATACAACGATTGCCTCGAAAGATTTTCATCTTAGTAAATACAGCAATATTTAGAAGATTTCCAATAAGACCAACACCAAAAGTGATATATGTTGAATAAATGGCAAATACTTGCGCAGCGACAACAAGATTTAAAGCATAGGATGAATTCGACATTGAAATAAAATCGTCGTGATATTGATTAGTATTAGCAAATGTCTGTGCACATATATTTTTTATTTTATCATTGCTCCTTATACTTTGTTTTTTTTCTGTTTGATGACAACGAATGTATAATTTATATAATCTTACGAAGTCTATCAAGATGCATTAAAAGTGATATGTCATATTATGGACTAATTATGCAGCAAAAATTAAATATAGGATAATAATCTTTGTCAGAGTCACGGAATGGTGAGAAGTAGTTGATAATTAAGATGATGAAGACGAGAAATGAAGTAACTTTTATAAAGATGGAAGAAGCACTCTTTTCATATAGAACATCGATGTCGAAGCATTTTTCTAATATCTATCTAGAAAGAAAAACGACGCGGCGATATTTTATGAACGGTTATTACCTTTTCTGAAAGAAAGGGTTATACGGCTGTTAAAAAATGCTTAAAGTTTGTTTGTTCAAGCCAATTATATTACACCATGCTCTAAACCAATGAGAATTCAGCACTGATCCATATAAAAGTTTAAGCAGAAGGTAACCGAGGGTAGGAAACTCGAATTTGGGATCAGTTTTAATATTACTAATAATATTACTAATTAATTATTAATTATTAATTAATAATATTAATTTTTTAACAGGTTGCCCAAAAGGTAATCGAGGATGGAGAATCCGAATCTAGGATCAGTCTTGATACTACTATTTAATTAATTTTCTTTTCTCAAAGTAAGGGTTATACAGCGATTAAATGCTGGCAGCCAGAGGGGGCGCGAAGAGGTCGGAGCAGAGGGATCAGTTCTCAAATCAGAGAAAGTCGAAAATTATTCTCCAAACTGAAGTTTTCTCTGAATGGGAGAAAGTTGCATGATATATTTCTCCAAAATCGAAGAAAGTTTCTTAGTAAGTTCCCCGAATTCGGAGAAAATTGACCTCCAAAATTTTAAAAACCGGAGAAAGTCGTAGCTAAAATTTTCTGCAGCAGGAGGAGGCATCCCCATCCTCCCATTCCCCCTCCCCCCAATCGCGCCGCCCCTGCTGGCAATGTTTCTAACAGAAATCTAAAACAGAGTGCAAATGAGTACTTCGTTTCTATTCACAAACTATGCACTAGTACTTTGCTCTAGATAATAAAGTACTAGGACAAAAAACGGATTCGAGAAAAACAAAAACAAGACTATCACTCAATTTCATAGTTTAATTCAAATAATGTTCTTGTTGAAAAAACGTAAAATAAAAAAATACAGTATAGACAGACAACAAAAACATATACGGATTTATCTGAACAAGCTGAAGGGAAACTTCTCTGAGTAAAGGTTACTGTAATAAACATTTGACATGTCTTTGTCTTGAACGTTTTCAATACGTGATTTTAATTATGTTGTACCAAATAATTTGTCAAGATTTGTTTGTTTCAACATAAATATGATATGATCCTATTTAAAAAACTAGAAGAAAGAAAAATGATATGGATGTTACTCATTTTGGTGTTTTCTTGTATACTATCAAATATATTAAAAAAATTTGATGAATATATTGAACAAAAATTAAATATTTAACAACAGCAAATGCAAAAAGATAGTAAAATATCAAACAAATCGTTGAACTCGGTGAACGTATTGAATACGAAGATACTATTTGACAAAATTTGACAAGAACAAGACAATATAGTATGAATTCGTTACGATCGAGGAAGGTTTTTGACATTATTTATTAATATAGTTTTCTTCCTATTTATTTATGAGTTACATTATTTTTTCTTGACGTTTCGACCAATGAAATTAATCTTCTTCAGAAGGGTGTGGGTGTGGGTGTGGGCCAATAGAAGATGTACACTCACACCCACCAGCCTACACCCACACCCACACCCACACCCACACCCTTTTTCCTCTTCCGTGCGGTTCATACACTGATATTTACCGTTCTTTACCGTCAGAGACTAGATTACATCCATTACCATAATGAGATATGTACGCGAGAAAAATCTGCTTGTTGCGATCACTGAATAACTCACCAAGCAAAGTAACTCATAAGCATATTATATACTCTTAATTGTTTTCTCTTATCTAAAAATATTATTTTATAAGGAACGTTAAGTACTTTTACCGAAATACCAAAATAGATAGAATATTTCAAGGCAAAATTAACTTTGATGTTGAATTAGTGATGCAACTTGTTATTGAGTAAATAATGTTTTTTTTAATTTTCATATTGAATTTTTGGAATAAATAATGAAAACAGTAAATATTCTGAACTTATTGTTTACTACTTAGATCATACGAACATAAGTGGCATAGATATTTTACTTCAGTAAAGTAGATTCAAGGAAAGTTTCTTCTTTTTATATGTAATGATAACAAAAATAATGCTCTATTTTTCTGTGAGGTTTGATCATTCTTGAACTAATAATATGATAGTAAAATTTTTGTAAGAGCTGTTTGTTATAAAATGTGATGACAACACTAATGACTATTTTGAAGAAAACTAAAAGGTGGATCGATAATATTTTAAATAGTTTTTCATAGGAACAAAGTAGAGGACATTAGTTTTCATCGTTCGAGAGAGAAGATAAACACACATTGAATCATATGTTATAGATTTTTGCTGACTTGTGCTTTTTAAGATTTTTAATCAATATTTTTGAGAAGAAATCGATCTCGTGAGATATTTATTGCAAATTTTCAGTTGTTAGTAGTGTATTGAAATCTTCAATCGAAAATGTATCAAGCTGCACAATGTTTTCAATGTTTCGAGTTAGTCTTTGAGAAGTTATAGATATTCTAGACGATACTCTAAATGAATTTTTCTAGCAACTCCTGTGAAAAAAGTCACTTTTGCCGTTTTCTTTGATATAAAAAATAATTTTTTTTAGTACTTAGAAAATTGACGAAGATAACTTCAGGAAATATTTCATAAAAACCTGTAATATATGATTCAATGTGTGTTTATTTTCTCTCTCGAACAATGAAAATCACAATCGTCTATCTTGTTCCTATGAAAAGTTATTTGAAAAATTATTGATCCACCTTGTAGTTTTATTCAAAATGGTCATTAGTGTTGTTGTCACATTTCATAACAAACAGTTCTTACAGAAATTTTATTATTATATTAATAGGAGCGTAGCGAGACCTCCAAAGTAGGGAAGGGGGTAAGGTCTTAAAAATTCAAAAGGAAAAAGTCAGCTCTATAAGGTTTAAAAGTAGGAGGGAGATAAAGTAGGTATTCATGTCAAATGAGCTATTATACTGCTGACAAAAAGCACCTTTTTTTTCCTATTTTGGTGAGGAAGAAAGATGAAATTTCCAAAATCAGGAGAGAGATTACTTCTCCTTCAGGATCTCGACGCTTCTATATATTATTAGTTGAAAAATGATCAAATCTCACAGAAAAATAGAGTATTATATTTGTTATCATTACATACAAAAAGAAGAAATTTTCCTTGAGTCTACTTTACTGAAATAAACTATCTATGCTACTTATTTTTGTATAATCTAAGTATTATAATTAGATTATTGTCTGAAATAAAATTTATTTTTATGATTAAAACAAAAATAGAATAAAAGTATGTTTTTGCAGCATCCAGTGAAATATTCATCGATCGAAATAAAAAACGTGCAAAAATACTTGCTCATCTCATTTCAATACCCGTTCAACTTACTTACCTTCGAATTGAAAAATTTCAATGGCTTTTACATCTTGTTGAATACATAAGATTCGATTTGACTGTTATATTTATTTTGAGCTGAAAAAGACAAGTACATTTTCCATAAGGAACTAATGTATTTTCTAACTTATAGAATTGAAACCTATTCGTATTGTGTATAATAATCAAACAGATGGGAGAAAGCACATAAAACTGTATTTTGATCCCCTCCTATTTCTTTTATTTTCTCATTCAAACCTAACTGATTCGTATACAGAGTAAAAGATCATGAGCTTCTGACCATTTTGATGTCAACTTCAAGCTATTTTTATTCGATTATAGGTATAATCAAAGACTTCCTTTACGATATACTAATAGCTAATCTACATAGTTGTCGATACTGGTTAATAATGTAATCATTGATTTGAAAGAAAACAAATAAAGATTTTGAGTAATCTATAATTATTTGGATAAAAATTTTTTCGAGCTGCATTTTCCTTATAAAACTATTCATTTAATATAATATTTTGATTTTACAATATATGAAATAGAACTATTTCTATTATAGGCATTTTGGTTCGCATTTATGTATGTGATTATATTAGTCGTTTAATTATTATCTTAATGTAAAGTTGATTCCAATTTGTTGGCAACTTGTTCAATAGTTTTTCAAGCTCTACAAAATTACCTACTTTTTAAGGTGTAAAAAAGTGTGCTACTTATTAAGAAGATCCCTTAGAATTGATTTTCTATTTAGAAAGGATCGTTTTGGGTTGAAATTTTTCAAGAATGAATGATTCTTGTGAGAAACGCTTGTGGTAAAAATATCATCCTGATATACTTGACTACATCGAACTTCTAGCATGTTGTCATACTTTTCAGGAGAATGAAAATAACTTCGTTGTTATAAGGATGCAGAGGTCAAGTTAGTTTTAAATAAATGCTAGTCTTTGTGTACAACTTTTCATTGGCTAGAATTTTCAAACTTCTTTCGTTCATTTTATGAGTATTTCAATGCTCATGATGTTTAAAATAAGTATAGCAAGGTGAACTCCTTTCACAATAAGTCCCACTTTTCTCAATTCAGAGATCAAGTATAAAAAACTCGTCCGATTCTAGGGAGTAAAGGGCTTATTTTAATGCATTAAAATGTTCGCTTTTAATGCTTAAAAAAAGCTAAAAAAAAACAATTTTTATTTTTTTGAAAAAGTAAGTGTGCGAGCATTATTATCTTCAAACTTGGTGTTTTTTTTTCAAAAGAAAAGTTTTTCAAAGCATAGAAAGCGCACATTTTAATGCGTTCTTAAGTGTTATTTTGTCTAACTGGAATGCAAAGTTAGCTCTAATAAAGACCTTTGAAGAAAA